CATTTTGTAGACTAGATACCCAATACGTGTCTAAATCAGCACAACAAAGTATTTATTCCAAAAGTGACGTTTTATTGGTGAATGGACAGAGAGTTTACATACTTGTACGTCACGGTTCAACAATATCACATCGTATTTTTTTGAATTCGGTATATCAAGCAAAATCGGTCGAAAATTATAGCTCTCCATTGAGTTCCCAATTCGGGCTTTCTTACTGCTCTCCTCTTAATGTGAAACGAGTTACTATTACTCGTTCAATGATCCACATAATCTGAAATGGCACAATTTCAGTGACATTGTTTTGAACGCATAGTAATCAAATTTTCTGTTCCTTCCGATACTCCACCATATTGGCAACTTTTTTTCAGTTTACAATGGCAGGAAGTCTTCAACATCCATCTTTTTTTAAGATATTCTCGGACCCAACTGAAAACGACTGAGAGGACGTCTCCTACTAACCTTTGCAGTACTCGCCGATGTTTGGAAACATTGTCAAGTACACACTACAAACTTCTTCTTCAGGAATGCAGAAATAACCCAAATGGTGACATTTTTCTAACCGACTATTGCGTTGGTGAGGTAAGGCTTATTTAATTTTTGTAATGCTGCAAATAGACCTATTACATAAAGGGAAACCGCCATTTTAGGTCTCTACTGGATGTAAAGCTTCGGTTCTTAGTAATAAACTACCTACTCAAATCTCCAGGATATCTGTCGGTGCGACTACACAAATATTCTACCTTCCCAAGTGTGTTTGCTTAGCGAAAAATGCGGTTTGGAATGTAAACCAAGCTAACCGCTTCAATCAAGATGTTCAAAGGCAAGATGGTACATGACTGTTCTTAATATCCTTAGAAAGTAGTTTTTCTAATGTTCCTTGAATGCGGAATGTTCGTGTTTTTCCGCTAAACTCCCATATTTATATGACGAAACATTTATGTAATGAGGCACAGGGATGAAATGGTGACGCCAATAAGACTTTAAAGGAAATGCCGATTTTAATGTGCAGGGTTTATTTGGAAAGATCCTTTCGCTAAATAATAATTTGTGGTAGTGACTCAATTCTACCTGTTAGCTCTAAGAAAATTAGGCTAACTACGTTTCATTATTGAAAGCTATGCATTCCACCAGCCCATAATTTTGGCATTATACGTTAAGTGTCTCAGAACCGCTCCTCTTAGGAAGATTACGTGCACTTTCTGCCATTTAGAACACTTTTGGTAGGAGAAATATAAATTGCTTCCATCAAACTATCAAATGGCAGTAACACTACTCAGTTTTATGGTAAATGACGCTTTATGACCGTGATCCCAGTCTCTTTACTAGAAATAGGTGAAAAAAATAAATATATAAGCATTTTCTACTGAGCGTTGCTTCCCTTACCAGATTCTCGTAGAATGAATCAGCTGGTGGATTTTTTAATCACTCTCAGAGTTTCAACCGTTAGCCGAATTCAGGAACAAAACACCTCTTTACAAAATCAGGTAAAGAAGCGGTGAACAATGCCCAGGTTTTAATAAAACTTCCTCATAATTATTCACTGATCATCTTGCACTAGATCAACCAAATCATCGATAGTCATTTGAAAATGCTTTTTATTAACATCCATATGCAGCAGGCTTTCCCAGGATAAGTTAAAGACATTTATGGACCATTACTATCAATATACCTACGAAATCAATGTTTCGTTAACAATTGGTTCTATCATCTTAAATAATTCTCTTAATGTGTGCGCAAAAATAACTCCATAGGAGTCACATTTTTGGAGTGAAATTTTACAAGTTTGATAAGTATATTTCTGACTTATTCTAGATGTACATGTGGCTTTCATGCCATGAAATTTCATAAATGGCATTGCTAAGAGACGTCTTCATAAGTTTGGGCACTCCGAGATAGTTTATTTTAAAATAGATGTTAACTAGGCAAGCCATTACCCCTACAATTTCTTTTGAATGGACTTTTTGATTTAGCAATTTGGTGGAATAATTAGTAAGCTCAAGAGCTTTAGGATGGGTATCGATGTCTCTTCGGTGCAGTCCTCAAAGCTACCTACGCTCTCAAGGTGTGTATTTAAAATGCTCCTAAGACCTCTACGTTATTAACTTGAAATTGCAAGCATATTTCGTTATTTTTTAGAATCCCAAGAACAAACCAAAACATAATATTATCTCGATGATTAATGAACGGATCAGAATTGATCAGCTCATTGGAATCGTTAAAAGTCTCCTTTCAACATTTAAATAAAGAAATCAACCGGCATTATATAAAACTCTTATAAGGGGAGAGTTTAGGCTCTGTGGCATTGAATTCACCATTCTTCGTGAAGTGAAATGTGTTACATAGCAATCACTGCTGTGGCGAGTGGAAGGAGAGTTATAGCTTTACAGGGCTTAACCGAAGAGCGAAGCCAGAGCTGGTCGAAGCATGGTCATCATGAAGGGAAGGAAAAGCCGAATTTAAGGCGGCTGCCTGTCCTAGGAAGTTGCTATCCACTCGCTACTGGGAAATCAGGTGCCATGCTTGCAAACACATCCGAACAGGGTCCTTCCTCCTGTTGCGCCTATCCTAGCGGTTGATCCGTGTGCGTACATCCGGAAAGCGGATTTGATTTTATGAGTACCCCACTACCATCGGAATAGGGTTTCTTCAATTTCACTCCTCAACATTACTTATTAAATTATTCATACTAAATCTTTATTTTCAGCCCAGATTCGGTATTCATACTGTACTCCGGAAGGGATGCGAATCAAGTGGAACATCTAGAGTAGCCGTTGTCGTATTCCAGATAAATGATTTTAAGCCCCTTAATCACACTTCTGGAATGAGTATGTAAACGTCTGAACATCTCTTCCTAAATTGAGCACAAATTTTTGGCACTTTAAGGTCCAGAGGTTGCGCGTAGCATTGTTATTTTTAAACAGGCTTAATAAACATGAGACGCAAGAAAATAAACTTTGATAAATCGCCACGAACATGGCCACGCTAACGATGACACTCAACTCATGAGTAATTTTAGCAAACACTGTTGGAACCCACAGATCTAAGCAATGTGAAATTGAGAGGGAAAGCGGAGTGAAGACAAAAACTAACGATAGTTACGTTCTTTTATTTCCAATAGAGGGGTAAGCGTTACATTTAGAGACTGCTTTTTATAAAAATTTTGTAGCGCATTTTATTTGAAGAAGCTTTCGAAAAGTCCTGTTTATGTAACTGTTCTACAATTCCCTATGAAAAGATTCAAATAACGGTATTTAAAATGTATATATTTTCCAATTTTAGACCCCTGAATAGAGAAGGCTAGGTAGTGAAAGATATTATGCATTGAAGGTATGTAGGATTATCCGGAAGATCTAAACGATTTGCCAAAAAAGGAGTTTTTAACCTCTTTAGGCGTCTGCCTGCCGCGTAAAAGGCCTGTTTAAACAAACAAGACCCTCTTGTTTCTTATCTCTGGCTTATTTCTTCACACGCCATTCCTGATATATAAATATGTATATACGCATACGACTGGCACTGTTCCTTCATAAGGGTAAGTTTTATTGATGATAGTGAGGGGTTGTGTGTGTGGGTAAGCCGACCTTTGTCGTGCGAAAATTATCTTCACACTAAGGATGGTGGAATTCGCGAAGTATTCTTGGGGTGGAACGAATCTATA